TGGAGGAGGAGCTGGGGGGGGGGGGGGGAGCAAGGAGTCCCTGCCCTTCTCCCTCATTAAGTTTTGCTGCCCCGGTCAGTTCTTTTCTTTTTTTGCTCAACAAGTTTTGCTGCTATTTTCGGGAGGTAGGGGGGGATGTGAGGGTTTTTCAAAAATCAAGAAGGGGGGTGTGATGCCAAAAAGTTTGGGAACCACTCTAGACAGCATTTGGTCCTGCCATGAGGGTAGGGGACTGGACTCGGTGACCTCTCGAGGTCCTTTCCACTCCTAGTATTCTATGATTCTAAGCTGGGAATCTGCAGCGGGGTTAGCTCCTTCCCTGGAGGCTAATCCTGCTGTGTCTCTGCCTTTGAAATGTTTTAAGAGCTAGCAGGCTCTTAATACATTTAAAAGGCTGAAGCGCAGTGGGGTGGACTCAGCGCGAACCAGGACAGCTGATTCCCGGCTCATGCTGGGTCCCCCCCCCTGCACTTCTGCTTTTTAAATGTATTGTGGCAGGGTCAGCCTCCCTCCTGAGACCCTGACCCCTGTTCCGTCCACTATCCCACCCTTGAAGGGTGGCAGCAGGGCTCTCACCTGCAGAGTTTTTATTCCTGGGCCTTTCTGGTCCTCAGCATAAAGGAGGGTGTATTGGGCTGAAGCCCTGGGCCAGTCACAGCTGACCAGGAAGCCCCGTGGGGTAGGGAGCCCTCCAACACTCCCTGCTTGACCCCTCACCTCGCCCTGTAGCCTTTAGCTGGGCTGATTGTTCCTCCTCTCAGAGTCTCCTTATCACTTGGTTGTCTGCTCCTGCTCGCTGTCCTAGGGACGGCTTTTAAAGAGGCCCTGTGGCAGCCTGGTTCAGCTCACCTGGCTGTTAGTTAATTTGCAGCTGCCTTGTCTCAGCTGCCGCTTTTCCCTTTTAACAGGCCTTTTGACCTTCCCTGTCACAGAATTAAAAGCTGGTAGGCTCTTAATGCATTGAAAAAGCAGAGGCGCAGCTTCTGGGACTGGGTGCCAGCCAGGAATTAGCTGATTCTCAGCCTGTGCCCGGTCCCTGGCACTACCTCCCTCCCCACCCACCTCCTCTGCCCCCTGTGGAAATGGTGTGGGGGGAACCGGCTTTTAAGCTAGCTCTTCCCAGTACCGGCTCCTGCTCCCCTGCTTGCAGCAAGGGTGGGGGGGGAGGGACTAGTTGACTATCTGATAAGATTTTGCTTATCGGAAATCGACTAGTCGCTTACATCCCTACTCCCCATCCATGGAGGGATGCTCCAGCCAGACTGGTCACTGGTTAAACGGTTACCATTAAGCATCTTGACTGGTTGACCCGTTACCTATTTACATCCCTAGCCTGAGCCTGAAGCCCCTTTCTGCACCCTAAATGCCTCACTCCCAGTCCTACCCCAAAACCCTCACCCCCCACACTCTAAGCTTCTTGGCCTGAGTCTGGAACCCCTGTCCTGCACTCCAAACTCCTCATCCCTACCCCCACCCCAGAGCCTGCACCCCCCGCCAGAGCCATGAATTCCTGCACTCTCAAGCCCTGGGCCCCAGCCTAGAGCCCCTTCCTGTACCCCAAATACCTCATTCCCTTGCCTCTTACTCCTACCCAAAGCCCCTATTTCTGGCACACTAATCCCCTGCCCAGAGTGAGGGTGGTGGAGAGGATATGATGGAGGGATGGAGTGAACAGGGGTGGGGTGGGCAGGGGATGGGGCAAGGCTGTTCTCTTTTTTGCAATTAGAAAGTTGCCAGCTCTTTTGCTGAGGTGATTGTCACAGGCTTGTAGTGTGAGGTTGGACATGTTGCCGTACCTCTCTGCTGCAGTTTCCTCATCTGTAAAATGAGGATATTATTTCACCATTGTGAGGCATCTGGAAATCTGTGGATAAAAAGGGCTATATGTCACTATGTATTATTGGGAAAAGCTTTCTGGGTATTGGCATTTAAGTGGTCGTATTTACTTATCAAATTCTCTTAACTAGCATAATTGATTGTCCCAACCAGTATGAGCAGCCATCAGTCGACAGTCATTTTTCCCTAAGGCTTATTAGCATGGTACAGCAACTGGGCTTGATAAGCTAAAATTTACAAGTTTGATAAGGGTCCGTCCTTTACAAAGAGTAACTCTTCCTATAATGGCTTGAAACTGTGCTGGGAATAGCTATGTTAGAAAACCTTTCAAGCATGGTGCAGCCTTACTAGGCTGTTGTTTTTCAGCACACTTGTCGTGAACATTTTTGAGGCCTGGACCTCAGAGAGGCGGGCCATTTAAAAAACGAAACAGTGGTGGTAAACAAAATCAAGTCTGCAGCATAGTTTCTGAACATGATTTTGACATGCTTTATGACTATATGAGCATTATATAACTGTTAGATGTTAAAAGTCGCACTGCATCGCAAGGATGTTTAAAATGGTTTTGGATACGATAGCCTTAGAGACCAATTTTCAGAAGTATTGAGCACTTACAACTCTAATAGAAGGCAATGGGATATGTGGGTGCTTACCTCACCTCTGAAAATCGGGTGTTAAATGTACATAGGGCTGAAATATTTGGAAGTGAATGACTGGGAAAGCCTTTCACCATTCTCAATTGAAAATCATTCTGTAGAAAACTTGACAGCAGGATTCTGGCCTTTGAAAATGAAAAACCTAGGGGAGGGGGTGATACATTTCTGAGGCTTCATTCTTAGGGTGGGGGAAAGGGTGTTTTTGAAATATGTTGGACTCCATATTTTCATGACTTTAAAAACACACCTTTCTCCTTGTACAGACACAGCCTGAGATTATTTTCTGCATCTTCAAGCATGTGGTGCATTCCTGTGTATTTAAAATCAACCTTAAAAAAGACAATAATTTGAGCGGGAAAGTACTTGACAAAGTTCAGTACTTTTTTTTATTTTCCTGCCTAACAGTAAATGTGAATCAATCATGTGATTCAGGATTTAATTGTTAAGGACACAAATGAGACCTACTGAGGGGTTTTTACACTTCCCTGTGAAGCATGTGATGTTGGCCATTGCCAGAGACAAGGTATTATGTGAGATCACCTTAAGCCTGACCCACTAGGACAATTCTTATGTTCCTAATAAATTTAGTACATCTACTGAATTTCAACCAATATGGTATTTTGTAGTAATCTGTAACCAGACCCCAGTCAGATCACTGTCAAGGTAAACCATGTTTTAATCCTCTCCTTCTGTTTTTGAGATTCAGTTGTTGTTATGTCACCAACAGAGGCTCAGGACTTCTTTAGTTCTGAAAATAGAGGAGACATACAGATTTTAAAGGGATACTGTTAGATTGTTTTGAACTTAAACATATGTAGTCTTAAAGAAAAATCCAACAAAATAGCCCTTAAAACCCCCATAAAATGAATGTTTATATTGTTATTTTAAAATATCATCTGTGTTTTTACAGTCCAAATACTAAAACACTTTTCTAGCTGGGGCTTTATCTTGCTAAATGCAGAGCAGTCATATGTGATGCTGAGTGCCTTCAACTCCATCAGACTTCAAAATGAGTTGAGGCTATTCAGCAGGGCTAGCTGTTTGTCGGACATATTCTTGGAGATTTCATCGCATGATGTAATCTTTAATTAAAGATTAATCTTTAATTCCTGGAGACTACAGGACAATCCTGAAGTGTTGGTGACCCTATCTCCGCATCTGCCAGGACTGAGTCCTTAATAAAAACGTGAAACTGACTATTTTTATTTTTCCTGTCCAAGCTTTAGGAAAAAGCAAAAAGTAACCGGCGAGGACAAATTTTAAGACATTAAACCAGTTTTTATGGTGTTTTTATTTAACCTGACTGTATCTCTTTAAGGGAAGAAAAATCTCTTCCCACTCACATCTTTCAGAGTTAAGAATTGGAATTAGATAGACATGTACTAAAAATACTGCTTGCTTCCTAAATATTTAACCAGTTCACTAAGCATTCAGACAGCCCTCTTTTAAATGATACCTAAAAATATAATAGGAAATTATTTGTTGATTGTAGCTACTTTTAGTGCCGATATTTGAATTCCATGTTTGAGTTGAGCCACCTGGAAACTGTCTTCCTGCAACAGAAACCAGCAGCTTTCAATCTGTTACTAAGAATTAAAGTGGGAGAGGGTGTGGGAAAGGCAGCATTTGATGGTTGCTCTGTACTTTTGCCTGGGTTCTGCTGAGTGAGTTGACATAGGCTATGACCAATCTCCTTGTCCTGACCTCTTTTTCCTTGATTTCTGCCTGCAGTTATCTGAAGGAGTTCCGCACGGAGCAGTGCCCCCTTTTTGTGCAGCACAAATGCACTCAGCACCGGCCCTATACTTGCTTCCACTGGCACTTTGTCAATCAACGTCGTCGCAGATCTATCCGCCGTCGGGATGGCACTTTTAACTATAGCCCTGACATTTACTGCACCAAATATGATGAGACCACAGGAATCTGCCCAGAAGGAGATGAGTAAGTAAAGTCTGCCCATGCCTGCTTCTGCCAGTCAGCTTTTGGGATCAATCCGTGTGTGTATTCCAACCAGAGTTTACAGAGACAAGACATTTCAGCAAAGCAGCTTTTTAACTTGATTATATAGAGTAACATAAGAACATATGTGAAAGCTACAGTAGCAACCTGTGTATTTCAACCCTAGTACAGGGGAACTACTAGGATTGAGGGAGTTCTGTCTCCATTATCTGTTCAGTCCTTGCATCTTTAGCAGAGTGTTGATAAGAACTGGACTGAGACTAGCCACCAGGCGAACACTAAATTATAGTTCATGATCATTTTTTTTGTGAGCTGGACTTGAACAGATGGCCAGCTTGTGAAATATTCTGTGAATTCTTACCTGTGCCCTGAGCCATCCAGCTTCAACTTTTAAAAGTATATAATTTAATTAATTTACCGATGCCAAATGACCATTCATACTTCAGAAGAGCCATAGGAGACAGACAAGATAGAGAAACACTGTAGAATGGTGTGTTTTTTCTCATCAATTTTTGGTAGACTCTATTGGAATAGAGAGATACTTTAGAACAGAGGAGGGCAAAATACAGCCTGTGGGCTAAATCCAGCTTGCCACACTGCCAGATCCAGCCCGTGGTACAGCGGGTGCCTGAGGCAGTCTCCTTGCCTTCTGCACCCCATACGCCGCTCAAAGCGGTCTGCTATGTTCTCTGCACACCATGCTCCTTCCTTCCCCCAACCCTCTGCTCCTCTCCTGCCCCCCTTCTTCCTAATCCAGCCCTGGGTCACAACCTCCTCTCAGATCCTGCACTCCCTCCTGCACCCCTATCCTCTGCCACAAGTCACAACCCCTTTCTTCACTCAAATTCCCTCCCAGGCCACACACACCCTTTTGCATCCCAATTTTCTACCCAACCTCCATGCCAGACCCTGCACCTCCTCCATTAATATCATGGAAGAGTGTGGCCCTTGACCAAATTTTTGGCGTGCCCCCCTCATCAAAAATTATTGCCCACCACTGCTTGAGAAGATTATTGGTGCAGTGTGTTAAGGCATTTGTTAACTATGCAGGAGTGGGCATGGAGAATACTGAATCAGAGATAAGAGAAACTGTAGAGGAATAATAGCATATCTTGATTGATCAAAATATTGGCTGTAATTTGATTTATGTTTCATGGTGCCAAGATAAATAAATAAAGATTATACATGTCTGGAAAGTGGCAAATTCTGCTAATTGAATAAAGGATACAGTAGATGGAAGAGAATGAAACAGTCCACTAGACTTGTGTTGTCAGTTTCTATTCAGATTCTCTCTCATTAATACTAGATGGGCACTGGTTCATATTTGGCTCAGATAAGTAATGAATAAAGCCATCTTACTGCTCTTAGTTGTTCTATATCTTTGGATAGGTCCTGAAAGTACATCAACTTCACTTATTTTTCTAATTCTTTTACATTTCTCAGTGACAGATTTGTGGATTTTTTTCCTAATTAGGGTATGACCAAGATGCAGTAGGAATTAAAAATGGAGTGCCAGCTAAAATGATCGCGTTCTGGGTTTTTTCCTTCTTTGTCCCAAGCTCTCCTGTGAGGGGGGTATGTCTGTCTATAGGTGGACTGGCACAGCCCACAAGCCCTGTAGCTTGTACATTGGCAGGAAACACTAACAGCTAGGAACCTAAATGAAAGGAGGGCTGCAGAGGAAATGTGTGTGCCATGGGGTGTATCTCCTTCATACTAATACACCAATAAAGCATTGAGCGTATTCTTGCTCTTTACTGGATCCCTGATACTCACCGGTCTACAGAATAATGAGCCGTTGAAGTCTTAAGGATCCAGTTATTTGTGAGAGAAGATGTTATCTAGTGTGTACTGGCAGATGTAGGGTCTAAAGAATGTTGAAAGGCATGACAAAAGAAAGGGGCAGAGCTAGTAAGGTTAACAATGATAGCAGTGGAGAGAGGTAACTAGTGGGGTCCCTCAATGGTCTGTCCTGGGACCAATCCTATTCAACTTATGTATAAATGATCTAGAAAAAGGGATAAACAGTGAGGTGGCAAAATCTGCAGATGATACCAAACTGCTCAAGATAGTTAAGACCAAAGCAGACTGTGAAGAGCTTCAAAAAGATCTCAACAAACTAAGTGATTGGGCAACAAAATGGCAAATGAAATTTAATGTTGATAAATGTAAAGTAATGCACATTGGAAAAAATAATCCCAACTGTACATACAGTATGATGGGGACTAATTTAGCTACAACAACTCAAGAGAGAGATCTTAGAGTCATTGTGGATAATTCTCTGAAAACATCCACTCAGTGTGCAGTAGCAGTCAAAAAAGCAAATAGAATGTTAGGAATCATTTTAAAAAGGGATAGAGAATAAGACAGAAAAAATCTTATTGCCTCTATATAAAACCATGGTACGCCCACATCTTGAGTACTGCGTACAGATGTGATCACCTCATCTCAGAAAAGATATATTTGCATTAGAAAGGGTTCAGAAAAGGGCAACAAAAATGATTAGGGGTTTGTAGCGGGTCCCATATGAAGAGAGATTAAAAAGACTTAGACTTCTCAGCTTAGAAAAGAGGAAATTTAAAGGGGGATATGATAGAGGTCTATAAAATCATGTCTGGTGTGGAAAAAGTGAATAAGGAAAAGTTATTTACTTATTCCCACGATATAAGAACTAGGGCTCACCAAATTAATAGGCAGCAGGTTTAAAACAAAGAAAAGGAAGTTTTTCTTTACTCAGTGCACAGTCAACCTCTGGAACTCCTTGATAGAGAATGTGGTGAACAGATCAAAAAAGAGCTAGATAGATTCATGGATGTTAGGTCCATCAATGGCTATTAGCCAGGATGGGTAGAAATGGTGTCCCTAGCCTCTGTTTGTCTGGAAATGGATGAAAGGAGAGGGATCATATGAGAATTACCTGTTGTGTTCCCTTCCTCTGATGTAACTGGTATTGGCCATTGTTAGCAGACAGGATACAGAAAATCTCCATTGGTCCGGCATCTGATGGTCCAGCCCTCCTGATGGTCCAGCACCATCAGGAACCCGGAAGTGCTCCGGGCAGCCGGACCATTGGAGCTGCTCTGCCCCCGGCTTCCCCGATTCAGCCGCTGCTGAAACTGACCAG